GTTGCGAACAAGATTCGTAATGCCGGGGTGCCTGGTTCCATCCCAGCTGAAGACGGTTTCTCTTGCGTTGGTTTTAACAGTAGCAAAGAGAGCTGTCCGTTCATAAGCAATGGCAAACCACTGAAAGTAAAATCTGCTCAGAAAAACTACAACAGCCCAGAAAATGACAGAATTTGTTTTGAAACGTCCTGTAAATGACACGTAACTAGCTAGATGATACTTGTTTGTGACCAAAAGTGTTGAATGCTCATGTGTCTTTGCCTTTGCGAACGTGCTTCGTAATTCTTAGGTCCCCCTATCTTTCCAGCTGCAGGTGATATGGCAGCAGACAGCGTTGCGCTAATTTCTACAATGGTATTTATAGGCGACTGTTGAGTAAGCAATGAAAAACTGCTCACAGTAAAATTGCCTAGTAAAACCTAACACCCCAAACATACTAGGATGGGTTGTGCAACGTCTTGTAAAGGATGCGCAGCTAACTTATAGTTGTTGATGCAAACTCTGTAATTGATCTGACATGATAAGATGAAATATATGAGGAATCCTGCTGGTGTTGTTATGGGACAGCCCGTATGATAGAAGTGAATCTTCCATGTCTGCAGTTACATGACCTAGGCATGACCCGGAGTTTACCAAGAGCAACTGACGTCGGTAGGATGTCGTGACTGACTGAGTGGTTCGCTCCTGTTTAAGATCCTGAGAGTTTTGTTTCCAGAACCTGCGACTGTAAATACTTATGATAGTTTGACAGATTACAGCGTGTTGTGCTTAGACTACAGTGACAGATAGCCTGTGCTACATTGTGTTTCGTTAGTCAGTAGCAGTACTTCTGTATAGTACAGCTCTATGGAGAGATAGGTTCTGTGTCGATTGTTACGTGGGTAGTTGGTTAGGTAAAACAGTTAGTCTGGTAGCTACGTTTGGTTGTTGTGATTTGATCTGTCCTCATTCACTTGGCGCCGCACTTACAAACGATTCACTGTCCTGTAGTGGAGTTCAGTTACAGAGGCATGAGCTGTACGGAAGCGGCGTGAGTTCGGACCCCAGTATTATCGATGTTAACCTGCTGGCCTGGGAGTGAGAGGTGATTTGTCAAGCCCACGCGGCCTTTGTTTCGGATAGGGTTGCCTACGACATCTGAGGCAAAGTACCGTCTGTTATATTGTCCTTACATTAAAGATTTGTATGGGTTCTGTATGTGTTTGTGTTTAGTGTGTTTAGGATAGTTTATCTGTAACGAGCCTACAGCACGAGCCATATGGTACCTGACAGTCTGTAAACCTGTGTATCGTCTTCCCATCTGCATACGTCTGTGAACCTGTCTATCGTCTTTCCGTCTGTATATGTCAGTGAACCTGTTGCAGTACAAGAATGAAGAAAACATGAGCGATTGTAGTTGAACGCTTATTAAATACACAACAATTCCTGAGACACAATACTTAGATTTTTACAAGAACGAAATTCTTTTATTTAAATCATTTTAATGCGGCCATCTACTGTACTTCATTTCACTCGTCGTGCCACTGAAAATCACTCCAAGTGTTGAGCTTGGCACGCGTGCCTTAGGTTGACGGCAACGACTAAATAATCACAAATCAGAAACAGAGCAGGTAAAACTGTTGGGTCAAGGGTGACACCTGTAACAACCAGCTTATGACACCTGTAACAACCAGCTTATGACACCTGTAACAACCATCTTATGACACCTGTAACCACCATCTTATGACACCTGTAACCACCATCTTATGACACCTGTAACAACCAGCTTATGACACCTGCAACAACCATCTTATCACACCTGTAACAACCATCTTATGACACCTGTAACAACCAGCTTATTGTCACATATCACTCCTGTCGCGTGCCTGATTTAAGGATTTCTCCTTAAGAACCAACAGCACTCTGAAATAATTATGTTGAGAAGTTGGCTCGTATTGGTCTAAGGGATGCCCCGTGGCCAATATACGCTAAACTTATTCCAGGGGTAGGGCAACTCAAGTTTTGTCACTACAAAATATATAATATTCCTAGGCACACTTGGCTGGACACCCCCAATACTATAAAAAGATAGCACCCAGATTATGATAGTCTACTATCATAACCATGTTAACACATATAACAATTATTATTCACACACATATCAATGCTAGACAGTTAGAATGGTGAAACAGGGACACCTAAGTCAGCCATGAAAATAAATGTATGTAATAAGTACAATATATATACATGTATTAATGAATAGATTCTCATGAATGTTCATTGACTGAAGCTCAGAGATCAGTGATACACCCAAGATATTGAAGCAGCCAGATTTAGGTTCAGGAAAGTACATGAGTTCATCACTGGAATCACGAGGAGCTGTGGGAAGAGAACAGGATGGTAATTAATAGATCACTTATCCCAGTTCGTAGGTCGATGCTCCCCTCAGTTCATGGTGATTCGACTGTAGTTGACTCAGGTATCTATGCCTCTAGTTGATCTGGTACCAGTTGATTACCTCACCATCGAGGACACGGGAACTGCATAGGGACTCAACAAGTCTCTCTCACAGGTCAGGTCACAAAACTGCCTCAGAACTCAACCAAGCTCTTGAAGACTGGTTCTCTACATTGATGACACAAATGTCTGCCAATGTCCACTCGTCCTGGAGCTCACAAACACGCTCTTGCCATGTTGAGGTAGTGGCACAAAGGGCAGGACTTCTGGTTATGCTTGGTGCATAGAATGGCATGGGTTTAATATCTTTACAAATGGTGTGGGTTATGTAGATTACTAACTAATTAGTCTGTACAGGGGAAGGTCTAAGGTTCGGATCCTGATCTCTGGACATCAAGAACGGTCGAACTATGTGCGATCACACAGCTGACTCTGCCCTCTCTACAGCAGTGGCCAACTTTAAAAAGACATCAATTATGGTACTCGTAAACTATAATCAACTTACCCAAGCTTAGGAAATCTTCCATAATAGAAATGGAACTTTGAATGCGCCAAATTCTACATAGACTGTATACACGTCTAGACTCTTCGGGATCAGGCGAAAGAATGCCTTTTTTAAAATCAAACCAGCGTCTCTAGGAAAGAAGTTCCCCTGTATTACTGCCTAGGGAGTAAACCGGTTTACATGAATTTCTAAATAAAATACCAGAATTCGCCAACCTGCTGTTACCAATTTGAAAATGAAGATTTATCAAAGCAACTAGAAGGTCTAGAAATGAATATTTTACCAGATAAAGGTATCGATCAATATAAGGGACTATATACCCTTCTGGGCGGGTTCAAGTTTAAAATGTGACTGTCCGCGTAGGGGACTTCAGAATCCCGACTCGTCCATTGTGTAAGGTGGCTGCTCACCTCACGACACTTATGACACCTGTAACAACCAGCTTATGACACCTGTAACAACCAGCTTACCTTGATTGCAATTCTGAAACATTCGTTGAGGTCCCTTCGGAAAAATGCACCACAACCTGGCAGGTACTTTGCAGAACGTCGCTCCCGTGACGATTCGGGAGAAAAACTCCTGTTCAACTCTTATTAGATAAGCAAGTCAATGACCCTTTTCCACATGTTCAGCCGTATAAGCCTGTATTTTATAGACCAATCGACATTTGGTCAGTGATGTGGTCAGTACCACGCCGGCCATATTTACTGTCCAGGACTACACCTGGTACCCACTCAAGGCTGGGTCGATCTGCGAGCTAAGGTCATTGTGGGGAAAAGTCCGTCTCTCTCAAGACCCGAACCCACGACCTTCCGATCCGCAGGCAAGCATTTTTATGCCCAGTAGCGTCTCTCATTCCCTTTGAGGCATCTCCTACTGGTCAACCACTGCATCCATACCTTCATTGTGTCCCCTCAGAGCTACTTCCTGGTGATTAAAACAACCTGAGGTTACAAAATCTCTTGCTGGTAGACCTACAGGGCAGACCCCATTGAACATTTTTTTTTAAATATGTTATAGTGTAAATGTTATATCAGTCTAAAGACTTGTTCGTGTAACAATGAACGAGTTGTTTCTTATTCCAGGATCGGTGCCTTTCATGCGTTCTTCTTCTTCTTATCTCTCTCTCTCTCTCTCTCTCTCTCTCTCTCTCTCTCTCTCTCTCTCTCTCTCTCTCAGTCTCTCTGTCTCTCTCTCTCTCTCTCTCTCTCTCTCTCTCTCTCTCTCGTTCTTTGATACTTCTGTGGTGCAACTTCTGTGTGGTCGACCTCTGGCTTAGTTACCGCTATATCTGTATAACAATGACCTCTGTGGGGTCCTGTGTCTACTGCCAGTCTTGTTACATGGCCAAACCATTTAATTTGTTGTCTACCTATAAAGTTCGAACTGGTTCTGTGCCGACGCTCCTCCTCATCATCATCAACATAAACCATTCCTGCTGTTAAGCGTAGTGGGGAGGAATAATTTGCGATCCAGTGCACACCGGCTCCCATTGGATATTGTCATGTCATTAATGCGTGAGAGTATCTTTAATGTCGTCGATCCATATTTCTCTGGCCGTCCTCTTTATCTTGTAGCTGATCTTCTGAGATGTAGTGCTTGTGATGGTATTTGATCTTTCTGCATTTTCACGAGATGGCCAAACCAGTTGATCTGCTGCATCTCGATGAATCTAGTACAAAGTGTAGTTCCCACAGTTTGTCTGATAGTTCCCTTATTTATTCGATCTCGGATTTTTAGATTGGCTGCTTTTCTCAGGCATCTCATCTCGTAGGTTATTCTCCTGAAATCGTTGTTCCTAAGTTGATCTTTTTTCGTTACACCAAGCATAGTACGTAATCACTTGATTTTTTTTTTTTCTTGACTATTTCAATTCTGCTGTAAATCACAGTGATGTTTTATTAACAAAACTATTTTTTTTAAGTGTCTTGGACATTGAGACGATTATGCGGCTGTTTTCACATTTTGTAGATTGCCTACTGAAGAAAAGTTATACATGTAAGGACACATATACAGAAGTGCGAGTGTCTTTGCGAAACTCTCACTTGTCCTTCTTATGTCACTTGGATTTGGCAGTCGCTGTGCAACTTTTTAACGTCAAGGAAAACACCGTTCTAAATTTAGAACTCATGTTGTAGTAGATAAAAATATTCACTGCGCTATTTATAGCTTCTAAGTTCAAGAACAGGGACCAAATTAATATAAAGGTGTTGGAATATGCACCAACTATGCTGTAATCAGGGAAACACAACATGATGATCAAGTTGATAACACTTGGGGTATAGCACGCGATGAATATACCGGATATGGTGGTGACCATGACAACGACCCGTTTCTCCCGCGCGGTTTTGCTGTCTACAGAATCAGGTACCGCAGATTTTGTCGCCGAGTTCCGCCATTTTCTGTTTCTAATTAGGCTTTGAATTAAAATCATTGTACAGATGGCAACTATTACGAAAGAAAATATCTGGATGCCAATATCGATAGAGAACGCCATGTTTTCTAGATAGGGACCGTTGTCAATGTAAACAAGTCCCACCAGAGTGGTGTTTCTGCGAAGGTAATAGACCGGGCCTAACCGAACCGAAGAGAACACCAGAGACACCACGCTAAACTGGAGCAGAAAGATAGACGCCATGATGATTAATGTTCGTGCCGGGGTAATGATTGTCTTCACTTTCAGGGGAAGGGCTGTACACAGACATCGTTCGAATGAGATGTAGGCCGTAATACAGCTGGTGATCCTGGCAAAACTCCCATGCGGCCAGCCTGAGGACAGTAACAAATGGTACATGTTAGGTTAGTTTAAGAACTATAGCTACAGGTCAATGAATGTTCATACAGTTCGGGGACACCGCAAACTTATAATTAGCTGTTTATGTGCATCCCAATTAGTTAGATAATTAGTTAGTTGGGTTATCCTCATTGCACTCCGGACATGTCAATAGGTGCTCAGAACCTCCTCTTAGTATGAACTCCAACGTACGATGGCTGATAGTGCCAGTTTTATGTTGATTAACAAGTCTTCTGGTGTGTCTGGTGTGAGTCCCAATGTCGGACGAAATTTTTGTTTATTTAAAGCCCCTAACCTGGCTTTTGCCTGGGGCCCTAATATAACCCAACCCATGGGTTGAACGTTGTTTCTGGGACCTCTCCATGGGTGATCTTCAACCGCATAATAGTACTTTGTATTACCAGGTCCTTATCGCTTGTTGAATGTCCTTTTGGGGTTGAATCTCATCCACTCAACTTAGTTTAATAGCACGCACACATTGCAGGACAAACAATGTTGTACTAACTTCAGATGTGACTGACAGAATAGCGTTCCTGACGCCCCCAGTGAAAGAACCATTGTCGACGCACCCCAAATCTAACTGTGTGTACCAAGTTAAACACAGCTGTATTGCTGCATGTGTTTGACCGAACCTATCGACGTGTACCTAAGTATTTCCCCATATGGATGGTAAACTCAACGAAAATGATTTTAGTGCCTAGTAGAAAAGATCACCCATCGTCCATCGCCCGATACCTTTTGAATTCTCGTCGCAACAAGTGCGATGTGTTGTTTTTTTCGAATTCTGTACATCTCAGTCGCAGAATTTTGCGATATAAGGAAACCACGAGGATAAATCGGCTTAGTCCAGAATTATGCAGGCAAAAGGAAATGATTGTAGTCGTTCACGTGAGTTTGCCCTTTTAAAACAGGCAGCTACGTTTGAAATTGATTTTGTATTTCAGTTAGAATAATTTATCTGAATGCTTCATTTAATTAAACTGTAACTTTAGTATGCACCTGACGAGATACAGAGATATGGTACAGCAGACATCATAACGGCATCACTACACGGCCCATATTCAAAGACACGGGAGGGGGAGGGGACTGCGTGGTATCAACGCATGGTGTCTGCCTCTAATGCTAGAGGTTCTGGGTTCAATTCCTGGTAAGGGCTGGGATTTTTTCACGTGGATTTGGACTAGTATTTCTCCTGATCTCTGGGTAGTGAGATTGGACGTCCGTGTGCAGTGTTGCGCACATTAAAAAAAATCCATTTGCAGTTGGAAATCGAAAAGAGTAGCCTAACAGTGCTGCGCGGGCAAAATTGTGAGTTAAAAATCTACCCAATTTTTTTCTTCTTCTTCACGTTCACCAGCTGTAAACTCTGGCGGAAGGTTCTGGTTGCTCGTCCACTACTGAACTGCAGTCCTGCTCCAGAACCTGAGTGTTGCGTGTGCATCAGTTTTACAGATCTCATTCTCTTGAATACAGACTGTTGGTTCCTTGCCTCTCCGGCAGATGCACTCCGACTTCAAAGGAAGCTTCCCAATTAGTCGACTCTTACGACATGCTTTTGGGGAGGCAGTGGGTCTATTCTTGTTTTCCCCACAATGGGGCCCCGGAACCCACACGGGGGAATCTACCCAATGTATTTCAGGATTCTTGCCGGTGCTACAGAGCCTGTCCAATGTGCTGAGCTTCTTCGGACTCAGACTTGAGTTAGAAGAAGAACGGAGCTCTTATGGGTTACTACCCGTGTGCCACGATGTTGATCCGTTGTTCAAACTTGAAACTCGAAACTTCATAGATACCATGCCTTATATACCATCTTTACGACTTATGACCCGTGCGACGTATGACATTGGTAGTTACCACCACACAAAACAAAATATTGAAAACAAAAAAATAATAGTGGATAAAGGAAGATAACTACATTGGTAGGGTCAAAACGTTCCCCCGAAACTAAGCACAAATTATGCAACTTTCCCATCATGTACCGTAATTATCTGTACGTAATTTTTTTTTGATGCACAATTTATTGTTATGACCCGTTTGAAAACAAAATAGTGTTAACAAATTTTAATTTGTCCAGGAAATAGCACAGAGGATAATCTTGGATTAGTTTTACTATAAAACATGGGGGTAATTACTAAATAAGCTTGACGACAAAAATCAGCGAACGAGAACGAGAATATCCTAGACAAAACAAGATCATACAGTCAGGATGCATCGCAGTTTACAGCAAGAAGAAGAACTGCTGAGAATATTTAGTCAGATAGTCGAAGTTTCAACTAGAAGTATTTACAAGTAGTTAACAACAACAAAAAGTACAGCCACTAGAGGTGCCAACAAGTCTATACCAGAATTTCAGTTCATCGTTCATGGACTGAAGTCAGTCACGACACACTAACAGCTGCACATTCAATATTGCAAAGGCACACCGCCAGATGAAAATAAATCAATGGAAAAAAAAATATGAGGCATTTCCAGACGAGTCTTCTCGATGTTGACAAGTGAGGGTTATACAGATAATTGATAATCAGTTTCAAATGTAAAAACAATGAATAGGGACCAATTGTCCCTGCACACTTACAGGCGGTGAGGTACTGGATGTCCAAGGATTCGAACTCGATTCCCGAGAAGCGGAATTCTGGGAGATAGCAAATGCTCATCCAGGTCAAGGTGACCAGCGATCCAAGGTCAGACAGTGACAGAGCCATCAGACTGCAGTTGACCGTGTCCTTGAAACCCTGTCGGTGAAACAAAGGCAGCCAATCGCTAAGAAGTTAATGGGTTTGTAGATCCTTTATAGGTGGTTCCAAAACTAACCCCAGCATTTTGCGACTGGTGTGTAGTTTTAGGTAAAGTAAAGTAAAGATCCCTTATCACGCCTTTGGCGCATCGGGCATATGGAAAGAGCACCCCATATTTTTACAGACCAATCGGCACTTGGTGGGTAATGTGGTCAGCATTACGCCAGCCGTCTTTACTTTCCCAGGACATGCATTCTGATACTCATTTTAGGCTAGGTTGACCTGCGACGTCCCATACCATGATTAAAAAAACCACGCAGCCGCAGTGTGTTTCGAATTACGAGTCGGACTCGCAACGCCTAAGCCACGGACGCCAGTTTTACTATGCAGTTTCACATTAAATAGTTTGCCATTGTCTATGTGGGGGGAAAAAAACACGGCATTCTGCTACCAAACTGTATGCATTGGAATCGACTCGGGTATTTCGGAATTACGAGACGAATTTATAACTTTCAGCCACATACACCAGCCAATGGCTACATAACACATTTTAGCTTCGGTGCTTCTGTTGCTGCTGCTGCAACTACTACTAAGTAGTAGTAGCAGCAGCAACAGTATTAGTAGTAGTAGTAGTAGTAGTAGTAGTAGTAGTAGTAGTAGTAGTAGTAGTAGTAGTAGTAGTAGTAGTAGTAGTAGTAGTAGTAGTAGTAGTAGGAGTAGTAGTAGTAGTAGTAGTAGTAGTAGTAGTTTTTGTTGTTGCTGCTGCTGCTGCTACTGCTCAATTAAGAAAGTGTAAACAATATATGAGAATATATACAGAAGGGCATGTTTAGTTATGAAACTGGTTTCCATGCTTCTTGTGTTACCCGGATGTCACAGTCGAAGTGCGACTTGTTGACGTTCATCATAGAAATCGTCGTTCTCAATTTAGAACTCCTGTTTCAGAAGGTAGAAATATAGTACAATTATATTATATATGACTGTGTGTGTGGGGGTGTGATTGTGTCTGTGTGTGTGCGCGTGCAGGCGTGCACTAATTATAAATTCTTCGAAAGCTATAATAGGTATCTTACCATCCAGACCGATATTTTGTTATCAGGGAAGTCAGTCAAACTGTCAAGTGGCAGCCCTGAAAAAAAGGTGCGGGGTGGGCTAGGATATGAAAAAGGAATCTAATGATCTTTTTTCGTCCACTTCTGGACAGCAGTCCTGTTTTAGAATCAGGGTGTTGCGTGTGTTCCGTTTGACAGAATTGTTTCATTTGTGTGCAGACTGTTGGTTCCTTGCCTATCAAAGCAGATGCACTCCGACTTCGAAGGAAGCTCCATTAGTCTTTTAGGAAGGCAGTGGGTCTATTCTTGTTTTCCCTTTAATAGGACTCCGGAACCCACACGGGGAAATAAAATGATCAAACCGACGTACCTGTTTTACAAAGACAAGAATGTTGAGAATATTTCCAGCAGAGCCTAGAAGCGAGATGGAGCCTTGAACCAGGACGTAGAAGACGACGTCCAAATAGGTCCTGGTGTTGTCACTGATGAAATCAACTCTCTGGTCCCCCTGGACTTCTGCCAGACCGTCGAGGTCACTTGATGTCCAGTTTAATGTGCCGTCCATGGCGTGGACAGGCTTCCCAACGTGTCGCTGACCGTTACTTACTTTGATTAACTCAAGATGACAGGACTTGTTAGATCTATATGTCCATCACAGGTTAACTCTTGTTTTCTTTATTTCTTGTGTCTAGAGAATTTTATAGTATTTTTTTCTTCTTTATCCCAATGTAAAGAATTATTTAAGTATTTGTTCGTTTATATAGTCTAGTATACTCTGTGGTATTGTTTCTTTATGTAGTCGGCTGCACTTTACTGTGCTGGTAGTGCCTCGTCGCCATGAATACAGTCTACTCTCTTGTATTTCTTCGTTTATGTTGTTTTGGTGAGTCTAAACTGTGTGTGTTTGCGTCTGTAGTCTAGTGTCCGTTACAGAATTTCCTCATTTCTTTAGTCTAGCACATTTTATAGTGTCGGTTTTTCACTGTCTTAGAAGTCGTAAATACGGTTTTCTCTACAGTATTTCTCTCATTCTCTAGCTTGATGTGCTCTCCAAATCTTCTTCTTTTTTATATCCTCTGCTTTTTCTTTCTTTCTGACCTTGCTTGTATCTTCTAGTACTTCCTTCCACAGTTTTTCTAGCACATCATATGGCAGTTATTTTTATGTGTTATCTAACTCTGCTGAGAATTCATCGACCCGGCTGCTTCGAGATACCAGCTAAGTGATTTTGGGTATTTCTGTAGTATTGTTTGATTTGTATGTGCTGATGAATGCTCCAAAGCCGCAACGTTCACGTTTTGTTTGTATTTGTTATATTGTGAAGCTTGCTAATATACTTTTCGTTCAGTTTTTTTTTTTTTTTTTTTTTTTTTTTTTCTTGATATGTGTTATCTAGCGTATTCTATGTTTATTTCTTCATGTTCTCCGTTGACATTTTATTTCTAAAAAGTGATCCACCATTATGGTATATTCTGCAGTCAGCCTTCAAATTCTTTCTCTATAACAATAGGTGATGAGTGACTAGACGCGCTTGCTCTCCCATTTATAAGTACATAGATGATACTGTACTCACGAAGCCCAATCGCCAGAATGTAATCCCCATACAAGTACCTGGATCTACATTTGCCGCAAACACAAATTAAACCCACTTTTCTAGCACTGGCTCCTGGAGGAGAGGGAGGGAGTGAATTTAATGGGGGTCTAATTCCTACCTCTTGCCACTCCTAACCTATTGGAAATAATAATAATAATAGTAATATTAAATTTTAGTATAATATCCTTCCGTGTAATAATTTAATAAGCAGTCATAAATACAATAATGGTAGATGTTGAAACGTATCTTTGCCAGGGTTCGCTGCAGTATACCATTATTACCATAACGTCTGTGGTTCAGTGCAAACTATCAATAAAACCAGTGTTTGTTCGACATTGCCAAACGGTATCTCATAGTTAAACATGAAATTATGGAAACCCGCAGGCCAATTTCTATGTTGACCCACTTCTGTTGCTACAATTTCTATACGAATGTTGTAAAAAACAATTGAATTTGTGAGTTAACCATACAAGAACACACATAGAGAATATTTATGGGCGTCATCTATGAGTATTTACCATAACAGTTGAGTGTGTTGCTTTAGTACACACCAATCACTGGTGGCTGAAATACTGGCTTGGGAAGCGAGCCTATAGAACATCTGCTCTCAATAATCTCTCAACCGCTGGAGCAACTCGAAGGCAAGTTTGGCAAATTCTGAGTAAAACAAGTCAGTCAGGCTCTGTACTCAGGTCTTTGTTGGTCTTCCTCTTCTCCTCTTCCGCTCTACTGAGCCCTGTAGTATTGTTTTGAGATCTTATATGTCCATACCATTTCATTTTCCATCTTTTCAATGTAGTTGAAAAAAAGTTCATTGATGCCAGTGTGTTGGATAATTATACGGTGAACCTCGTCATTTGTGATGTGGTCTCTGTATGATATACACAGATCTTTTTAAACGATTTCATTTTTTTTTTTTTTTTTTTGGTTCATTTGTTAAAGTCCATATTTTACAGCCTAGTGTAGACGTACTAATAGAGAGAAGAATTGCATGTGGTTTTCTAGCTAAAATGTCTTAAAGTAAGCCCCATGGAACTCCTCTACGAGGCTTCGAGACCTACATTCTGGAGCGCTTAACACGTGAGACAAATGTTTGTGCTTCTCCAACTTACTACTCCCGGTATGATTAAATAAAAATGCAGGAATTCATAAATGTACCACACTATCATAGCAACGTGAGCAACAACAGCAGCAAAAATAACAGCAGTCGTGACAACAATACCAACAACAATAGCAGCGACATCATCAGCTCCAACAACAGCAGCCACAACAACAGAATTCGCACCAACAACAGCAGCCTCAACCACAACAGCAGTCACAAAAACATCAGCACAATAACAACAGCAGCAGCAACAACAACAACGGCAGCTGCAACAACAGCAACAGTAGCAACAAGAATAGCAACAGTAGCAACAACAGCAGCAACAACAGCAACAGTAGTAACAACAACAGCAGCAGCAACGGCAGCTGCAACAACGGCAGCAGCAACAACAGCAACAGTTGCAACAAGGCAACAGCAACAACAACGGCAGCAGTTATAACAACAGCAACAGTTGCAACAACGGCAGCAGCAACAACAACGGCAGCAGTTATAACAACAGCAACAGTAGCAACAGCAACAGTGGCAACAACATCAGCAGAGACAACAACAACAGAGGCAACAATGGGCAGTATCTACAACAGCAGCAGCAGTAGCAACAACAACAGCGACAACATCTAAAAAAGCGGTAGTTACAACAAAAGCAACAGCAGTCACAATAACAGTAGCAGCAGCAACGGCAGTATCAGCAACGTCCCATGTATTACAGTGAATGAAAACATTACCTCTACATAAACAGTAAATTCACACTGTGTAACTTATTAATTTGGCTTTAATCAATCAAGTGCCGTTTCCGCAATGAAGGTTGACTTCAATGGATCTCCAGACCGCTCTGTGTTTCGTCTATCCTGTATATCCTTTGTTGTATCGATGTCTGCCTTTTGCTCACCTGTCTTCAACTTTTCTCTCCAGTTTGGTTTTTATAAGAGTGTTGTCTTTTAATGGGGCAGAAATATTCCGTCTGAACCTTTTTTATTTTCTAACTAATTCAGTTTTCGTTCCTACTTTCTACAGAGCTAATGTATTTAATTGGTTTTATCTCCATAAGTTAAACAAATAAGTAAAGATCCTGTTTCACGTCTTAAGGCGCATCGGGTAAATGGGAAGATCACCCATATTTTTTACAGACCAATCGGCACTAGGTGGGTAATGGTCAGCATTACGCCGACCGTCTTTACTTTCCCAGGACATACATCATGGTATCTCATTTAGGCTGGTTCGACCTGCGCCGCCTCATACCATGATGAAAATCCACGCAGCCAGCAGTGGGTTTCGATCGTGGTACGTTGCAGTTACGAATGGGACTCGGCCCGGCTCTCTAGCGAAGTTAGTTAAACCTGACTTTCGCGGCGGCCGGGTGACGAACTCCTTGTGGTCCGGGTTCACTCCCGGGGGTGGGCAGAAAAGCCACATTTCTCCCAGATTAACGGTACCTATAATGGAATCAAGGCGAAGGGTTGCGATATCCATAGTACCGAGCCAAAGGGTTTACAACTCATGGTTTCTGGAAACGTTAAAAAAAAAAAAAAAGAATGGGACTCGCAACGAATAAGCCACGGGTGGCCCTAATTTCCATATCTGACTACAAGTGAATATTTAACTTGTGACTGCTTGTTCGCTTTCATTTCCTTCTGTTTAACGGGTACAATTATATCTGCACCCGGACATGGCTGGTCATATGAATCTTCTCCGCAACAAATGCATCCGTGTACATTGATAGACAGTCAAAGTTCATTGTTGGTTGACAGGACAAGCAGTCTACTTGCTTGTATTGTTTGTTTTTGTGCAGTTAAAAAAAAAAGAGGGAAGTCGGAAGATGTGAATCAGCGTCATTGCACGCGGTTATGAACCATAAGTGCTCTGCCACCAGTACGGACAGCTAATAAGAAACTGTTCGCCTGTGTCGCCGGCACGCAACTCCGTAGCTACAGCGACGTTCCTCCATTTACCTCAGAGTTTTAACTCTGGTACCCATTACATAGAGGCTGGGTGAACCCCCCAGGACCGCCTGGTTTCGAACACCAGCTGCAGCGAATCGCAGCTGGATTTGATAGCGAGTCTTCAATCGACTGCGCTAATGCAGCCTCTTTTGTGCAGTAATTCACTCCTCGCTTTTATTTATATTCTAGTTCTGGCTGGCTCTGCACAACTTGGTGGAATACTGATACAGCCCCTGGCTGTTCTGTGGTTTTCTAGGCATATTTACGTCCAGTAGTTTGCCATTGCTTCTTCGTTGCTTTCTTGATACCACTGTCGAAACCAACGCAAGGCGCATGGCCCTCAGCTGGGATCGAACCCGGCATCCCGGCATTACGAAGCGTTCGCATCGAATTAGCTACAGAGCTGGCGATAGGGCTATATCTATATTTTATAGACAAATCGACACTTATTTAGTGATATGGTCAGCATAACACTGGCCGCCTTTACTTCCCAGGATTCCACCTGGTGCCCATTCAAGCTGGAGAGACCTGAGAGGCAAGATCATTTTTGGAAAATGTCCACTACCGTCTGCACCCGAACCCATGACCTTCCGATCCCCAGGTAAGCGTCTATCCCCTACACTATGTCCAGAAATTAATTATGTAATATACTGTATTTGTCGCCTTTGTTCAAACTCACAACAATGAAACATTGCTTCAGTCTTAAGCGATAGTGTTGACTGCAGGTATTACAGGAACTTGACTCGATTTATGACTTATCAGATAAGTCTGTGTTTCCCGTTTCTTGTCTGTTCATTTCAACGGCCGGGTCAGATACGCGCTCTGGAACTCTCGTGACCTTTTGACTGTGTCCTGAACTTTAACCCTTGCAAGCATACCAGAATGATTTCTGTGGTCTGCTTTAGCTGCTGGCTGATTTTGTTCCGTTCTGA